CAAGGCACCTGTGTCTGTGGAACTGGGAGTCCCACGCTGATCCTGCTGAAAGCCTGTGGGTGCTCAGCCCTGTCCCTGCCTCTCCCTGCCAAGGGCAGCGCTTCGTGTCTCACTGACACATCTGAGAATCAGCAGAATTAGGCTCTTATGAAGTATAATTAATATAATTATTCATAAATGTCATCAAGATGTGCCTGTGATCGCTGCTCTCTTTCACTTGCAGCGGGGTAAGGGTGGCAGATGAATGCAAGTACTGGAACACTCATTTTCCAGGCTCACTTGTGTCCCATTTTCTCCCAAACTTCCAATTACAGCAAAGGTGCCTGTTGAATCCCAGCCCTGCAGGGAGGAAGAGCAGCCAATTCCATGGCTGGGTCACCTAGACACAGAGAAAACACAGGGATGGGAGCAGCAGCTCAGCCTGCTGGGTTTGCCCCTGTCAGGCTGAGCACAGTGACACCACAGCCCTGTGCTTTTTACAGATATTCTATAGGTATGGCTATAATGGGAAGAAAGGCAGCTTAAGAAGTTTGGCCTGCGAATTTTAAACGAGCATTTGGAGAAATTTCAGCGAGGGAAAAGGCTGAGCACTCCCTGCTGTGCTTTCCTCCATCAGGCACACATCTGGAACAGAGCAGGGACACTGCCTCTGCTTTCAGCCCCCAGCACTCAGCTCAGAGGGATTTCCAGCTGAGGAAACACCTCCTCAGCACCATCACTCAGCTCTGGGAAACAAATGCTGCCAGTCACAATTTTGTGAGCACAAAACAAATAGTGATGTATGATGGCAACGCTCCTTTCAACAGCTGATTACACAGATAATAACCTGTTTGGTTTTAGGTTGGTTTGTTTTTTTTTTACACAGATTAATAATCATAAACTCAGCAGGTCAGGCATTACCACAAGATGAGTGGCTCTGACAACAAGCACTGCATTTAGAAAGGATGCTTAATTGAAGTTAATTTCACTAAGTGACCTTAAATAGCAATTTCCTTTTCATATGACAGAATGACTAATTTTTTTTTTTCCATTTAAGGCACAAACCTTCTATTTTTTCCTCCCTTCATGACTAACTTTGAAGTGCAAACTCCTGAATGTCCTTTTATCCAAGACTCAAAGGGCTGTGCACAGCGAAAGTTAACCTGCAAGGTTCTTTTCTATTTGTTCAGATAAAGGATTGTACAGTCAGGTATTGAATACAGATTCTTTCCCTCAGAAATCAGAATGCCAAGGCCATTCAAAGATCACACTGGTGAAACCACAGTGGATTTTGGCCCATCTGCAAATTTACTAAATTCTCAAAGGAAAACTGCTGCAGGCAGAATTCATCTGTACTGGCCTCCTCCTTGTTACCCTGAGCATCTTCACCTCTGAAATTGAATTATTTCATGTATTACCCAGCCAAATGAGAGGCAGCAGAGCTGTTCCCTGCTGCTCCCTCCATTCCCCTCAGCTGCAGGATGGAGCCTGCACTGAATCCTGACTTTGAGCCTGGACAAAGCCTTCCACAGCCACATTTAAATTTAGATAAACAGGACACAAACACTCCACGAATCTGATTGATTTTCTGGAGCCTTTCAGACAACACTTGAGTTAAAAGGCAAGTAACTGAAATCCTGGGAAAGGATACTGGGAAAGGAAAAAAAAAACCATCGAAAATCCCCAAACCAACATCTACACCCTTCTCCTCTCAACAACAGCATGGGTTTCTTTAAGATGCACTCTCCAACAGGCCAAGGGAACAGGCTGAGGCTGAAGCAGCCACTGATTTCTCTGAAACACTTCACTGGTGTGTCTAAACCAAAATCAAGCATTTCCAAAGGGCTACTTAGCCCTAAACCAAACACTTCAGTTCCCTCAGCTGGCTCTTACAAAGCACTTCCAAGAGCCATCGGTTCAGCCTGTGTCTCCCTCTCCTAAAACAGTGACAAGAGCAATCCTGACAACTTAACGAGCCTATTAACAAAAACAATGTCTGTAATTCGCTTTTATTTGCATGCCTGTGACCATGAAAGGAAGAGTCAGTACACTCACTTGAAATCAGAGTTCCATTAGGGATAATCATTGTGTGAGCCTGCTCCCAATTAACCACCAATTCCAACCCAAGGACACCTTTTAAAGGTAAAAAAGTTGCCATCGACTTCTGCACAGTGTCAAAATGTAAATAAAAAGAGAAAGGAGAGCTTGGAAGAAGACTTCCAACAGCTGAGATAACCAACTTAACAGAGGCAGTATGAATTAAATAGAAATCTCAATTTCTAACACACAAACTCAATTGAACAAAGCACCCCCTTCATGTGCCCACTGAGACTAATTCTCACTTCCAGATTTGCTCTTTATCACATTTTAAGGATGTTGCCCCCACTCTTATTGGTGCTTCTCTGTGGCACTAACTCAACCTCTGAAAATGAATTTATCAAGGCACCATTCTGAATTTATCCATGGTAATCATGAGTCTCAATCTTGCACGGTCCTATCAGAAGGGCAAGGTCCTTGTAAAGCAGCAAAAACTTCCCAGTTCAGCTCCATCTCTAAATGATCCCATCTTTTATTATTTCTACCTGCATGTTAGACAGGGATCAAGGAAAACATGGCATTAACTGCTGCTGCCATTCAATTAACATTTGTGGGTCTCCAAGGAAAACAGAGGTGTGGATGAAGCCTTCAAACACACATTTCACCAGGAAAATTAATGGTTGTGCTTGAAAGGTGGTGCCTTGACTAACAGACCTGCACAGTTTGGGTCCAAGGTGGGTATTGTGGCTCCTGGCATGATGCTGAACATTGCATTTCCTGTTTATACTGACAGCAAACAATTCATGTTTGCCCTAAAATACAGAATTTAGTGCTCTGTTCACACACCCCTTTGTGCATTAACTGCTGACATTTAGGCTGGAGTCCAGGGAACCACATTCATCAGCTGAAGTCAATTTGTGGAATTCCAAGCAGGTCCAGAGGAATTTTGTCTGCTTAAATGACATGTGGTCCTGAACTTTTGGCTTTCAACGCTTGAATTATTTTTCCATAAAGTCACAGGAAATCCCACCAGGAAGTTCTCTCTCCAGTATACTTTAAAATGGTCAGAAATATTCGAAGAACTTACCAACACAAGATTTCTTGTTTTTCATAACTGTACCACAGAAGGGTTTCTGCAAAGACAGGGACCTTGGTTAAGGATTTTTGGGGGTTCTGGTTGTTTGGGATATTTTTTAATGCCCCTTTAAGAGTTTGGCAGTACCTTCAGAAAATTATAAATTTAAATTATTAAAAAAAATTATTTTATAAATGGTTCTCTTCCTTATCACAACTTGCTAACATAGATTGTACCTAATTAAATTAACACAAAAGTAATTAAATTACACAAAAGTAAAACCACATCATTAATTAGGAAGGAAGTACACAGTTCTGGAAATTCTCAGTCCATGCATCCATGTATCAAAATGAAAACCAACTGGCAAGACAAAATACAGGTATGTTTATATGAGATTCATTGAAGACTAATTTGTAGCAGCTTATTTGGCACTCAGTTGTCAAGAAAAGCAGTTTTCATTTCCTGTTTAGCATTTGTTTGAAAAACATGAGGATGTGATATTCAATCAAGATATTAAACTTTAGTAACACTTTAAAAGAACAAGGGGGAAAAATGAAAGAGAACTTTTTAATAAACCAAAGCAACTTCATGTATCATTTTGCTTATAAAGATGAAATCTCTAATATAAACCAAACAGAAAAAGCAAAATCCTTCTTTTCAAATCCCTCTTTATTTCACAGTGAGCTCCCAATTCAGATTAACATGAAATTGTTCAAAGGCCACAGAGGTGAAATGAAGGGGCTGCAGCCTCATGGCTGGTAAATGCTGATTAACAGATTAAGAGATGGAATCATAATGGATGTCAGTGTTACTGTTCTTTATATTGCTACACCAAAAATTTCAGCCAAATGAACAGCTGTGTACATTGGAGAGGATTTTTCACCTCTTGGCATACTAAAGAAATATGAATAAGTGAAAAGCAATCATATGTCATCAGCAGCCTGAACAACTGAGGCCTCTCTCTTCAGATCAAATGTCAAAAGCAGTATTATATAGTTAATAGTAAAAAAGAATAGCCATCCACGATACAGCTTGGAGAGTGTCATGGTTTCTTGAAAAAACTTGTCACAGAGCAATAATACTTCCCTTTAATGACCCTATAAATAGTTCTGAGCAGCCTGCTAAGATTATCTGATACTGAGTCAGACCAGAACAGAGCAAAAGAAAAAAAGTAAAGCATCAGATTCACCGAGGTACTGAAAACCCACAAGTCTTTCTTCATTAGTACCCCTCTGAGTTGGTTTCAAAATGGTATTTGAAACTACATAAACTTAGTACTTTTAATTCCTAATAAAATAGTTCATACAATTCTTATATGAACATCACATCATTAAAAGGGGTCAATTTAAAAAGCAACTTCATGAGAGCCATAACCCACTTACAATTGAATGACATTGTTAAAAAGCACTTACAAGTTACTCATCACCACAAGATCCAAGAATCATTTCTTACCCCAAATACACTGTAAGAAAAAAAAAAAAATGATCCTTGTGAACATTTAAGTCTTTCTGCTCTCATTAATGTGATGGGGAGAACAGGGCCCCAAAAGCGTTTGGAAGAAAAGAAAATTCAGCAATTCCTTATCTGGAAAAAAACCTCTTTATCCCTTTTGGTACTCTGGAGAAAATGCAAATGTGTAGCAACAAGAGAATTTTAATCAGTGGCAGCACCCTTTAATCCACACCTTTGTAGTGCTCAGTCTATAAAAATCATATGCTTCAAATTGCAGGATAACAGGAGTGGGTGAGAGAGAGGCTTTGCAGTGCTGCTGGTCCCATTAATCACATATTGATTGAACACTGAATGCTTTTTCGGGCTGCCTGACAGATTGGAATGGCTCTGGTAACCCCTCACTCCAATCCATGTTCTGCCTCATTCTTTTTTACATCATTCATTAAATCTCCTGGGAATACACACAAACCTCTCTCTCCTGCTTGTCCTCACAGATTTCTCAGCTTGCTGGATGTTCAGGTGCCCTCTTATCCCCCCCATTAACACCTTGCTGATCTCACAGCAAAAACCTGCCGTGAATTTAAAAATCCCTTTCTCTATCCCTGTGAATTTAAAAATCCCTTTCTCTATCCCTGGGAGAAGATGTCTCTCAGCTGTTTGTCTGTGCTCCACTTGTGATACTGCTCCTGGAGAGCAGAAGTGACAGCAAATGTCACAGGAGATGCCACCCTCCCTCCCCAGGGTTCACCTAGGGAGCTCCTACACAGTTACAACACTGGGAGCTACTGACATGTAAAACAATCTTTTTTAACTTGTCTTTAAAGACAAGGCATTAACATTCTGACTGGGCATAAAAGAAGGCTGTCGAATGGTACTTTTCTAAAAATAGCTCCATGGAGTGTCTAAAAACACCTTCTGAGTGTTCCATGTCTGCTCTCTGCCCACCAAACACAACTACAAGTACTTCAGAGTATTATGTAGGCAGATAAAGTCAAGGTGAGCTGCAGTCACTGCCTGTTACATCATCTATAACAGTTCTGGATTAAAATTTAGTTATTATGCCACTAACCTTGCTTTCCTATTTGGTGGAGTAAGACTACAGTTCAGTTTTCCCAAAACAGACTGAATAAAACAACTTAGGACGAGTGTTTCAGGTTATGCAGTGGCATAAACACTGCAATATGATTCTGACAGTTCACATTCTGAGATTATTTATATTTTTTAAAGTTGTCTTAGTGCTCCCATCACAGATTTTCATCATTGATGAAAATGCCATTGAACTCAAAAGAACTATTTGGGATTTTGGGGGAGAAGCTGTGGATTATGGTCCCCCATAAAGCACAGCCCTGAGGAAGGTTCAGCACCTTTCTCAACACAGCTCAATTCTGAGATGCTGAGCCAGAAGCTGTTTTCCACATCAATATTTCACGGGCCTTGGGATCCCATCCTTAAGATAGCCAAGGGTGATTTCTTCAAATTCTTATAAAATCTATCATGTCACATTATAACCTGATTGACTTCCTTACAAAAAAATTTAAAAACACCAAACCCAAAAAAGCCAACAACAGAAAAAAACCCAACCAAACAAAAAAAAAACAACCCCATGGATCTCACAACTTAAGCACATGAAATAGATTAATAAACAAATGGTTGGGAAACAAGGAGCTGAGGGATACAGAATAAGGCAACATTTTCCACAGAAATACTTCCTTACATCTAATTGTTGAAAAATTCAATGCCAAATTGATTTCTCAGCTGTGCAGACATGATCTGCAATATAATCTACCTTATAAAAATATCTCATTCAATAAAGGAATTCAAATGTCTGCAGAACTAGAATATAGGAAAAATAATTTAAGGGACAAACCCCCAAACTAATTCTGTAGTGCATGGCGGAGTGAAATTAGGCAATTACATTCTGAAAGGGACATCTCAGAAGAGAATTGTTCAATACATGGGTCCCTACATTTCATTCCATTCCCAGTACCAGATTTTTAACAACACAATAACACGCTCAGATGACCAAAGCAAGGAATAAAAGCCTTTCAAACGTGGCATTTTTTTCCCCTTCTGTTTCACATTCTGTCGGACTGAAGTAGCAGCTTCCTCCATCTCAACCTCTGCAGCAACCTTCACCTTTTGCCACTTCCCAAAACCCATTCCTGTGCTGCTCCTCCTGGCACAGGATCAGATGCTGCTGTAGTCTGAGCCACGGGCAGCAAGGGCTGCTGCTGCTCCCCACTCCACGATGAAGAAGGTGATTGTCCCAAAAAAACCCACCAGCACCATGATCAGGAGCTGCCACTGCAGCAGGAAATAGTTGCTGTAGAAATAGGCAACAGCAGCACAGATGGACTGAGAGGAGAAACAAAGTGAAAAGATTATCAGTGGAGATTTGCAGGCTGGTGCTGCTACAGAAGGATTATTAAACTGACATAGACACAGCTTAATATGAAGCTCTCAGAATGCTTTTGTAGAAGAAAGAGAATCTTAAGGCTTCATTATACCTCAACATATGTTTCAGCATGTCCCACAACAGATTTCGTTTTTACTTGTTATCTAAACAGCGTTCAACTGCAGAAAATGAACACCAAACTCCAAAGTGTTTGTAGCATTGCAAGCTGGTATTTCAAATGGCAAAACCACTACCAAAATCTCAAAGTGGTATTTCAAACCACTTTGTCTAGAAACAACACAGACAAAGCTTTAAGATCATAGCCCAGGAAACTGTTTCCAGCTTCACAAAACTATTTTACACCAAAATTCAGGATAAAATAATTTGCAGAACATTTTTCTCAGCTCATTAAGAAGCCCAACCCAGTATTTCAGTAACACCCCAACAATCCTACTTCCAAAAGGCTGTGTTAGGCAATACCTGAACAAACTTAAAGATGGCAAAGGCAGGAGCACTGTCCTCTGAGTACAGGAATCCCAGAATACTGAGGAGCTGGGTGTTGAAGCAGCTGTCCCCCAGCCCCAGCAGGAAGCTGCAGAGCATGGCCACCTCTTTGCTGAAGGAGAAAGCAATTCCAATTTAAAAGCCATTCAATCAAAGAGCTCGCACATTTATAAACTGTTTCTGTCAGGCTTATTTGGAAACTGTAAATGGAAGAAAGTTATCACACTTTTAATTTCCCTAGGAAAGAACTGGGAATGCCTGACTTGGCAAAAGGAGTCAGCTCATCAGCTTTAATTTCTTGAATGCCAAGACTTCTGTTACTGTTACCTGCAGTCAATTCTGCACTGAATTAGAAGCACTCAAATAAGGTTTTAGTGCTTGGAGCCACAAAACCCACACAGCAGTGATTAAAAGCTGAGGCACATGGCGAGTTCAAAAATCTGCAGGAATGTTAGAGAAATAACAATTTATTTGGCAGAAAAATACTCCAGCTAAGACCAGTCACCTGCACAGGCACAAGTTAGAATTGAAAGTTAGCAGCTGTGTCTGTAAAACTGACAGTACAGGATTTTCACACAAATTGGTAAAAATACAGCCCAAAAGAAAGTTGTAATGATGAGATAAGAAAGCTTTCTGTATTCTCCCCCCAAACACTGAGTGCTGTAAGGGACAGGCTGCAGTCACACCAAGTGGAATTTGACAGTAAGCATTGGAAAGATTTAAAAACAAGTGCAACAGGGCAAGGCTGGTGCTCCCTGATGTAAAACTGAGCCCAAGACTGTTTTAAAATAAACTGAAATCTTAACACCCACTACAATAGATGCTGGTCTTTCTTTTGTGCTACATGTCAGAAACATCAGTTGTCAAGTGACACAACTGCTATTATTCATCCCCAGGCTTTTTATTCTTATGCTATTCAAGTTCCTAAATTGGGTGCACACTGGTGGAAATCTACCTTTAATAAAAACAGAATTCCTGAAAGCTTTTTCCAGGGAGTTAGTCACTAGACAGAAAAAAAAACTTCAAGAAATTTTCTGTTGAGAAAAAAGCTGTTTTATGCACATCCTGAGATACAGCAGCCAAAGGCAAAAAAAAATCCAACATACCTTGGAACCATGTAAGCAACTTGATCTGTTCCTTCCATTGGAGCAATGGGGGCATCATTTGGCATGTTGAAAAAAATTAAATAAAAGGCTATGTAATGGACAAGGATGCCCAGCATCACCACTGGGTTCCTGCCAGAGCGACTCTTCTTGCTCAGCAAGCCAAAGATTCCTCCCCCTGCAGGAGCAGAAAAGAGAGAATTGAATCAGAAGTGGAGATTTAAATCCTGGCAATTTAAATTACAAACGTTCCCCCATTGGATAACGAAGATTGACTGACATGCAAACAGCCCCGAGGAGTTTGCCAGGGAAATGGGGCAGGAGATTGATCAGCTGGTTTGCTGATGAACATATTTCACCTTTTGGCAAGTATTTAACCAGCAGCCAGTTTCCTTCACTATTTCAACATCACTAAGTGATAATGGACAGCCTTGTGCTCAGCTCTTAATTGAAAAACATGCAACTCAATGGATCTGAGCTGCTAATGAACAGTGGTTTTTTGCTAAGTACCTCAGTACTTGAGTCTACAGAGAAGAAGAAATATTTATTTAATGAATATTACCTCTATCCAAATTTATTCAAATATCACATCTCATTTAACACAAGCAAACTTTTTAAAGAAAGAAATCCTTAGTGTAAGCATTTATTCAAAAATTTTAAAATTATATCACTCAAAACTAATAAGAATGCAAACATAATACTATTTCAAAATAGCACTTAAATAGCAAAATTGTTTCAATTCCCTAATAACACTGTAGCCCAGTGTTTCTCACATTTGAAGTTTGTGCATTCCTCCACATTAATCCAAAGAGAATGCAGAATATTAGAATTGGTCTACATCCACTTTACACAGTGTAAGGTATAATTCACAGTGCAGTAAGGAACCACAGTGCCAATTATATTGCTACTATTTCATTTTTGTTCACATAATTATTGCTGGAAGCTCCAAACACACTCCTGAGTAAAACACAAAAAAAAAAAAACCAAACATTTTGAATAACTGCACCACCTCAATGCTTTTTGTTGTCAAAAGGTAGCAAGTTTAGACTCACCCAAGATTTCTCCAACACCAATAAAAATGCCAGAGAGACCAATCAGGCTTTTCTCTTCACTGCCAAACCTATTCACAGCTCCAATGCACGTTCCATACACTCCAGAAAAGAATGTCAGCACCAGACCTTGGAAGGAAACCAAACAGAACTGATAGATGCACTCTCGTAAAAGTCATGAAAACATCTTTATGTCTAAAGGCTGTTTTCCCCTCAAGTATCTTTCAAATCATGTATTTAAATGAGAGGTGGGTAATAAAAGCAAAGAGGGAATTTTAAATTATGTAATTATTATATTCTTCTATGCTAGTTCCTCAAAACCACATTAGAAGTGTCACAGGCACCCAGGTTCAGTGCTGCTACTCTTGACCCAACACCTATAGTGTTTATATTAAACAATATATAAAATATAGGTTTATATTTGTTTATAATAAACCTATATATATAGATATATGTTCATATTAAACAAATATATACCTACAGTTTATACTTCTACAAAAACTCTGGAATTTTATCAAATAAAAAATGCCACATGAAATAACATGAAGTAATTGAAGAAATAAGGCACAATTCCATTTAAGGATTTTCTCCCCCACTTCAAGTTATGGTATTCCTAGAAGTCCCTGCAGCTCCAAATGCCAGTAAGGAGCTAAGAATCCTAAAATGAACTTTTTTATACATACATAATGAATTTAAGCTGAGAAACAACAACTCCTATTTGTTTTAAATCCTCTTTCTTTCTTTCTATTGCCATTAGTGTGAGGAAAGGTGACAGCACTGACCCAGCTAACATGACCATGAGCAACCATTAGTATAAAAATACCAACTCAATAAACAAGTGTACTCAAAACAACACAAAATGTTATTCCTAAACAGAGAAAAACAGCTCAAAATAAAGCTTTCTCATGTATATCCTTTACTTTTTGGCTACAGCCAAATGCTGGTACAGCTCACCCTGCCCTCCCTGGTGGACTGCATGGCTTCAATAACAGGGGTGCACTTGGAGCAGCTTAATTCCAGTAATTTTGGCATAAAAACCCTTGTTGGCCTTAGGGAATTTTCTGGTTTCTTACAGAATGTAGCAACACCAACCTAAATCCAGAAGATGGCAGCAGATATTTTTTTCCCCAGTCTGGACTGATTTATTTTTATGCCACCTGTAACCCCAAATTTCAGGATATTCAGGCAAAACCTGACTGACTCCCTTTTCTTGTTATCTTGCTCCACATTCCCATCCCCAGAGGAATTAATGTGAATTAATCTGGGTTGACACAACACTGGAGATGCTGTGAAATAATTTGTAACTCAGATTAGTGGCTGGAGCAACCCAACTCCAGAGCTACTCCTGCTGTTTCTCTACCAGGAGCTGCTGTAAACTGCAATGTTTATATTTTGTTCACATCTAAGTTTTTCTTTTCACATAACAATAATTTTTCCTAACAGTGACTCAGAGCTTAGGCTCTGAAAGTGCATGCATTTTATAAAAAAAAACCTAATTTGACCATGAACAAAACTTCATCTGAAGCCAAATAATGAGCAAAAAAATCCCCCGAAAAGAAACAACTCAAGGATCTTATAGGGTTTTTTTGGTGTGGTAAAAATAAATTTTTATCTTGTAACTCTGCATTGGTCCAAGGAGGGCAGACCAAGTTTAACTGATATCTGCTAAAAAGAGAAAGAACTCTTGCCACAGCAAATTCTGTTGATAAAACCAGTTGAAAATTACTAAGATGGGTCCAAATAGAACCAAGACTAAAATGAAGAGCATTGGGAATCTCCCATGCCTTAATGAAGGTATGATGTACAAACATTCCTTTAATTCAAAGGCAATACAACTGCATTAAATGTATGCAATTCAGCTGCATTAAACAATCTCAAAACTATTGATAGTGCAATATCAAATCCCATAAAATCCAGCTCTGTAAATTTTGCCTCTCACTTTGGGACCCAGAACTTCACTGAACCAGCACCTGCAGGTTTGGATGCACCCCTCCTCCTGTACAGAAACATTCACCATGACACAGAAACATTCTGAGTAACCCAAAATTAATTAAAATGTCCAAATAAGGTTTGCAGAGAAATGGATTAAAATTCCAGTCTGGGGTTAAAATTCCAAACAATGCCTTGCCACTGCTCCATGGTGAAACTCTGCTGGCTTCATACCTGTGTAGGCTGTGGTAACACTGAGAAGCAGCATCTCTTTGGTGAAGCTCAGTGTAATAGATTTCTCTGTTAGGAAATAATAAAGAAAATTAATAAAACTTCTGAAGATACTACTAAGATAATCTACGTTTACTTTTGCTCTTTGCTTAAAGCAAAAACTGGTTATTATACAATCTGTGTATTAAAGTTTCATTTACTGTTTATTACAGCAGAATGCCAAATAAAACAAAAAGATGTTTAACTGCCATCTAGAAGAAATATGCCCTCCAAAAATTGTATTTTATAAGAGATGCAGTGGGGGAAATATTAAAGAAGAAATACATAATTTTCAATTATCAGATAATTTTCTGCTCTCTGTATTTTTGTACTCTCAGCTCATGGCAACTGTCTCCTGAAAGGATAAATAGATTTTCAGTGAAGATCCCCACATCCTCAGTACAAATTTAACAGTCTCTGGCAGAACACATAAGCTTCAAAGGGAACTGCAGAAGCTTCAGCTCTAAACTGTTAACTGCTATCAACTGGTGACAAAACCAAACAACCTATTTGAATTCTTTTTATCTTCACATGTTTGTTGATTTTTATTTTTCATTCTCACTGCCTTTCCCAAGTATTAACCTGCTCCTTTTGTGCTCATCTGCACAAGGATGCTGTTGTAAAGCAGTTTGGATCTGAAATCACATCAAAGGAGGAGCACTCCAAATCTCCCCTGGACCACTCAGGTCTGTGATTGAAGTGGTTTGTACATGATCACATCACCAGCACAAACACAGAGAGCTGGCAAGGAACTCTCATGTGAAATTGTACTTACTGAAGGCAGCCACTGCTTTCATCATTTTGTTTCGTGCAGACCTGGGTAAACAAATTACTTGGTCAAAATGGAAGAGAAAAACCACACTTTATTGCTGTGCTGGAAGGCACCTTCATTTTTCAAAACTTCTGTACATTTTTTAGCCCTGCACTATATATTGGAATATTTCAATGTATTTTTTAAAGTTTCTAAGATCTAAAGTAACCACAAAATCTATTTGCTGCCTGCACTGGTGAATGCTTGCTTAATAGAATCTTTCTTTTGAACATTTTTAGCTTTCAACATTTTTTCCACAGGCATGCTCACTGATGTTTTTCTAACATTTTCACTGTTCTTTAAATAAAGCAAAAATATTTAAGCTGATGCCTCAGGCAAACCTGCACTGAATCTGTCTAACTGTGCATTTCTAATGCATTCATCAGGGTGGCATATATATTTAGAGAAGATAGGAAAAACATGTTCTGGTTTGTAAAACAACCTATAAACAAAGGAGTATTTTCTGTTTTTTCCAGCCTTTCAAATGGGCTGATGAGGGCAAGATAAATAATAATCAGTGGAGAAGAGATGAAGGGAATATTTTGTAAGGCTCTTGCTTATCAAAGGAAAAATTTCATGTGCAGTACTGAACTTCACCCTTGATGCCATATCAAGAACATTATTTCTCATTAATTGTCATTGTAAAAGTACAGACACTTTTCTGTTAAATCTGTGATCCAGCAGTTTGCTGATAACATTCATGTTTCCAGCAGGGAGGGGAAGTGAGTGCACAATGTTCCTCTGTGGAGCAGGAGCACAAACGAGAAGTGACAACCTATTATTGCCTTCAACACTTACGAGCTCTCCCCCAGGATTTCATTAGTGGAATCATCATCCCCTGGAGCTTTTGTGTCCTCTTGTTTCCTAATCAGAAAGAACAGAACTGTGCCCACAAGACTGATAACAGTCAGAGCAATGAAGACAGTTCTGCGATCGCTCTCTGTGGAAAAACAAACAAGAGCCATAACCAGATGTGCAGAAGAGATCCAAACCAATCCAGCTACCTTCAAACAACTAGCACACACATGCTACAGGGTTTAACACACACTAATTTTCTAGCTTACCTTCCACATGGAGCTGCTGGCAAACTCCTGTCTCAGTTTTATGGTGCTAATAAAATATCAGCAAATTAAAGAGGTCCCTCGCATTCTCTGCCATGCAAAGGCTATGACCAAGGAGCAGCCAATTAAAGGAAGTGCATAAATTATTAGGAGAAGAAAGTACATTTTTGAAGGCTTATATAATTCAGACTGGACAAAACGCCCCAAACCCCTTCAGATTTCTAAGAGAATCTCTTGACCAGCATCAGAACCATGAGCACCATGACATCATAAACTGTAGGAGGGGAAATGACAAAGGCATAAAAACCACCAAAACCTCAGTGACTGCCACAGCAGCTGGAGGGGGCAACTCTGCTGAACAGGCTGGTTATACTGCAGCAGAGCACAGCCACATCTAATACAAAAGCCACCCCCACCTACCAGTATCAAGCAGGGAAAAAAACCATTAACAGCAAACAACTGTGACTGAACTAATGCATGACCCTGAAGATATCACCTATCCTTGTATTTACTTCCCCCTTAGCTCAACAGCAAATGCAAATTTGTCCTAAAAATAACTTGGGTATGATCACAGATCCAAAAAGAGAAGGTGTGCTTCACAGCTTGAAATGACTCTGCTATTTTTTCAATAGATAGTAAAATAAGATTTGATTTTTAAATGCTATTTGCATTTAAATGCTGTTAGGGTTTGATATAAAATTTTCTAATAAAGATGAATCTCAAGACATTTAGGATGGAGGGAAATGTAACAGCAGAACTGCCTCACAGTTAATTGCTCTGTTCTGTAGTTAGCAGAGCAGTGAAGTTTGGAATGCACAGGATTTGAGACCCACCCCCTCAGGTTCAAAGTGTCTCCAATATTATTTACACTTAAACCCTTGTTTTACAGGAATGCAGAAAATGACCTTTAAATTTAGCTAGTGTGTCATTACCAAACATGTATCTGTGGAGAACCTGAAAAGATGGAGCTCAGAGAAACAAGAATTGAACTGTTCTCTCTGTTCTGTTATTTCTGAAACCTGGTAATTATTGTTTAAAAGTCAACATCTTATTCCTGATTGACCAGAGCAGAATTAAATAATCTGTTAAAGGTTAAAAGAATTGACCATTCTAGTAGATATTCAACATTAGAACTAAATAAGGAAAATTATCAGTAATTGTAGAACAGGAAAATCAAACTTACCTGTTTACAGAGCACTGCCTTTCCAGCAGCACTCATTTTTGGTTATTAAAATCTATTTTCACCACTTTTCTTAGTGAATTCCTACCCCTCTACTTTGCCTGGCCTAAACAGTTGACAGAAATCTTTGGTTTAAAAACAGAATCTCAACACTGTCTGGCTCAAGAACATAGATAAAGTCTACTGTTCTCCAGTTCCTGCTCTTTGCCAGCCAAGCACAACATCAAATGGAAAAAAATACAGCATTAATTACAATCCCATCAGGAAGTTCATCTCATAAACTATGCCAAGAAAGGAAGAGAGTTTTTACTCCACTCTCCCAGCAGTGCTGCCTCTTACACTGCTTTGTGCCAGCATAATTAATGCAGAAATGAAGTAAACTGAGATGGTTTTTCCTTTATTTCATCTCTAACATGATTTAGAAGAACACTCCACACCAGGAACTTACTTTGGAATAGGATAGTGTGCACAATATTACACATACAGCCAGAACACCTTCCCCCAAATAAGTGTATTTTGGTACAAATGTGTCTGCACAGGGAAATTCCCAGAGTAGCTATTGTGGAAAATCTCCAAGAAGAGACTACCTACAATAAATTGGAAGGAAAAAGTAAGTCTGCTTTTGTATAAGCTTCCTGCCACTTTGGAGTCCATTATTTCATCTGTTAATTCATGCTACTGTATTTAAAGGTTGGCCATATAAACAAGCAGTACCCACCTGATATGTGAGTTTTCCCTTGCCAAGCCAAGTATATATACAGATTTCCAAAAATCAAGCTGCAAACAAAAAGAACAAAGGTCAACAATACATTCTATGAAAAAACTAGGGTTGTAGCACCACATTAGTACTATTTTATACAACAACAAAAATATCCCAAGGCTGTGCAATCCTGAAAGAAATAAAGACATGAGTCACCCTCCATGTCAACTGCTTTTATATAAAACTCAAAGAAATTTGAGGATTCTGCTTCAAAATGCTGGCTATTCACTTTTATCAATCAAGACACAAGGTGGTGGCAAAAATTATTAAATCTGCATCTGAGCTGCTTCTAATCTTGGAAGGGTATAGGTTAGAAAGCTGACATATTTCTGGAGGTGATTTTGTAATACTTCCTTTGCAGGGTCATGTGTTTTGTCTGAAGTATTGCTCAGCTCAAGGAAATTCTGTGTCCCTAACTACCATTTCCCAAGATACAGTCATTCTGAATGAAAGATTTTAAGCAGTTTTAGAGCCAATTTTCTTCTTATTAGCCCATATATTTTACTCACTCACACAATCAGCTGCGTTTGTGGAAATTGCTACTCTGGTAACGCACTGAGGGGTTAATTCTGGAACTGAAAACTTTAGAAACACAAGGTTTGACAAATGCATGCTGGTTCAGGCTGATGTTCTCCCAGCCATGGATCCCACAGCATCACTAGCAATGCAAGCTCAGCACCCTAAGCATTTCTGCAATTCATTCCCCTGGTTATCTCCCAGATACGTATTCTGGGAGAATATTCAAAACTACTGCATTAGAGGTGGTAAAAGGATCTTTCTTCAGGAACCATTTGTGCACCTGTCTCCCATGAATTTGTTTTATTCCTTTTCAATCCTGCTCACACCATCCAATTCTACAGACCCCCAAGGCTGCAAGTTTAATCACCAACTGTAAAAAAAGCACTTGATCTGTCTCAAACCAGTCCTCCTTACTCTCACCCAGTGACCCCAATTTAGCACAGCAGCATTTGGTGAGCAACAGTTCTACACTCAGCTCCCCTGCTGCCCAAAATTTGGTGATAATCCTCCTCAGCTGCTGTTCCTCCCCAGGAAAGAGTGCCAACCTTTTCAGTCTCTCCTCAAGCCATCAGCTCTATCTTCTTGTATAATTTCATTATTTTTCTCTATATCCTAATTGTATTATGCTCCCATGAGAGGCATTAACTATCTCTGCACAAAACACTTAATGGCCACAACACAGCATCCCCTGCCTTGTTCTCACTGCCCTTCTTGATGCTGAGCTTTTTGTTGGTTTTTCAGTTGAGCAGCACTCATAGTTTATTATCAGAAAGCCATCAAAAACAAGATTTCTTTTCTGGCTTCTGACTGCCAGGTCCAACTTCAGTATCTTCACCTTGGCAGTGAGAATCAGCTTCTCCCTCAATAAAGGACACAAATTGGAACAGCCCTCCACAATCAACAAGATTGCTGTTGCATCCCTCAAATACTCCCCTAGCAAATATATCTTTTTAGCAGCTCAAGAGCTGAGATTGCAATAGTCAGCTTTCTTTCATTTCTTGTTTTTAATGCACAACACCAATAAAAACATTGCTTCCATCTCTCCTTCCCACCGACTACAAGGTCCCAGGGCATTTTCAATGCATTCTCCCACTTGTAAAAAGATATAAAAAGCAGCATGTGTTCACAACAAAATAAAAAATAAAAAATAAAATCAACAAATAAAGCTTACCTGAACTGTAGGAGTGCCCAAAATATTCCACTGTTCCTTCCAATGGTGTTTTCATCAGAATTTTCAGTCAAGCAATTTCCCTGAGCTGTCCAGAGGACTGAAACAGACAGAATATATTGCTCAGGAAATAAAAATATTTTAAAGGCATATTCAAATCTCATAAAAAAACAGTCAGCAGAATAAGAACAATGCTTACCAGCAGCTGCAATGCCAATAAGCACAGAGGCAGTGTAGAAAGCCCATGTAGCTGGCTGGATAAAGACTGCAATGTACAGGCTAGAACAGAACAGATCAGTTCATTGAATACTGACCTAAAGTGGACAATGCTCTTTATCAATCAGATACCTCACTTAGGTGCTTCTAAAACAGCTGCTCTCTCCTAAGGGATGTTGAAAAACAGGTTGTATGTGAAAAATCTTTTTACCCTTCCAAGCACATAGAATTTTGTTTGTATTGTTATTAATCTGAGACCATAACCTCAATTCCACAGTCAGCAAAGTCTGGAAATGCTGTGGAAAAAATGTGTTGTTTCCAGTAATACTCTGCAGTATCTCTGTGAGAGGCTTTTCTTAGTACAATTTCATCTATGGCACAAGAGCCTTAGGTGTGAAAAAATTAAAATAAATATTCCAAGGAAGCAGGCAAAACCTCAAAATTAATGCTTACCTATAAAACACACCACTAACAACCATGGAGAATTGAGGTCCCACTATTGCAACCAGTGAAGGTGATATAAGATTTGATGCAGACAATACTCCATAAATAATGGACATGCTACAGAAATAAAAAACAAAGACTATTAAATACTTAAAATAAAATATAGGCTAAAATATTATTTAAGAGTGATCAGTGGATTTCGAAATAACCAGTTAAGTACAAACATAACAGCAAAACTTCAGTGGTTCATTTCCTTACTTTCTTCTGTTCCCTTCACCCATGGCACTCCACATGGGAATACAGAAGTGAACATTATTCCCTGGATTGCTGAGTAGAGTCCCAAACTACTGCAGGCAATGACGTCTTTTAATTTACAGCATGCATTTGTCAAACTGCCTGAACAGCAGTTATTGTATTTTGTACCATGTACATCTAGAGGAGAATGTTCCAGAAGCTCATTTATCTGTCAGTGAGGTTTTCATCTTCTGCCAGATGCACCACAGAAAATTTTACAGACATATGTTGTGCCCGTGGCATTTTTAGTTTAAATTAAGACAGAAAACCTTTCAAAGGAGCAATGAGGTTTTCCTACAGGACAGATTAATTTGACATGCAAAAAGTCCCTGAACATGCCTGACAAGTTTGACTCTGCCAGTGCAAGAAAGAGAATGGCTTTTTGTGGCTTTGCCTGTCTTTCTGACTGCTCCTTCCACATTTGTGTTGTATTTCCTGAGAGCTGATCCACACCACCTGTCCTACACAAACACAGTGTACAAAAGCAAACAACCAAGGCCTGACTTAGCAGTTTTATTTATTTTTAGACTTCCACCTTCTTTGCCTCCTAAGGTAAAATGTTGAGAATGTGATGACAGTGGTTTTTGTTCCTACAAAGAAAACATGCAAACCAGATATGTAGCTCAACTGGAAATAATTCAGAGCAGAACTGTGAGAAGCCTGTTTTAAACTGCTTTAAGTGTGTCAATAAATTGTGAAGTCAGCAGAACGCTGCAATCTCTTGAGAGTGTCTCTCTACTGGATGAAACTGTAACTAAGTTCGCCCTGCAAGGAGCAAAGTAAGAAGAAAATCTGTGTAATTACCTCGTGTAGCCACTGCCATGAAAGTCTGTGTTGTTTAAATTCGTGATAACAGTTTGCTGTGAGGAGAGGATCATACATTGTAATATGTTAGAATCTATTTTGTATTTTGAGAACACCTTCATTGGTTTGAAGTCAGTAGCAAACATTAGAATTATTCATTAATAGACACTACACAGTACTTGAAAGAATCTAAAATGTTAATTACAACTCACACCACCTCCACAACAAAGATGCAGGAGATACTTGGCAGGGAAACATCTATGTTTGAAGAAGAACTTTATAATTAAATCATAATTTCATAAGAGACCTAAAATACTTCACAAAACTTTTGTTTCACTTAAGACCTCTCTTACATACATAGGTATGACTACCTTAATTTCAAAAGTGGGGAAAAAAAGAAGTTTCAGAATAATCTTAATTTGACCTAACTATGAATCTCTGTTAAGTTTCCATTCTTTTCAGCTTCTCATTATTTCCCTCTTCCTTTTTTTCCCCTTGACTCAGCTGTAGTGATCATGAGACTGGCAGATCTGATTGAAAGTCACTTGTAAAGACTTTTATGACAATGAATTACATGATTACATGATCACAAAGTTCAATTTGGTGAGGTGCTGAATTCATTGCAAAATTTCTGAGATTGTTGGGCTGCACATGAGAGCTTACAGAAAGTATTACACTGCACTAGAACTTATAAAAACTACCCAAGTAGTTATTTCTGTAATATTTCTGTATTATTCTCTAATATTCTGTCTAAATATTTCTGTAATTTTCTGTAATGCAGTGAAGGACATTTATCTGTCTGGATCCAGCAAGGATCCTTCTTGCATGCAAGAAAAGAGCTGTAAGACCTGTGGGCTCAAAGTGGATGTGGAAATCTAACTGCCCTGCAGGAGCAGAACTAATAATACTGAAAGCAGCTCAGGAAGTTAAAGAGCTAAACCTGGCAGTAACAGGAGTCTAAAAATTTAAATAGCAACAGTAAATTTGGATTATGCTGTGTTCAATTTTTGCTCTGGAAAGATATACTAAATAGCAGCAAATAACTCCTTCAGCTGGAAGGTGATTTGGCAGTTTAGCAATTGCAGAAATCTATTTGTTAGGTGTTATCCTCATACTCCCCCTCTATCTAGTTTGTCAGAATATGAAAATCTAGTTAATAATAGCATGGTTAATAATAACTTATGCAAATATTTTGAAAGGGACTATATAGAATATGCAAGGCTCATTGTAATTCAATTGTCCAACATCACAAGTATCAAAGCAGACACTATTTTAAAGCTCAAACATTTTACAAGATTATTTTTCTACTTTCTAAGCAATCAGACTGTTTTATATGTAGCTATGCTATCTTAAAGAGATAACCTGCTGAATTATTTGGTTAAACACATTAATCTACTTAAAACTAAACCAAAAGAAGATAAATGTCAAAGTACCTTGCACATTAAGAAATCCCAAACAAAACAACATTAGAGCACACAAAAGACAAGCCAGGGTAAATAACTGAGATAGAAACGTGGCACGTTTTGAAAGTCACACCTACCGCAATATTTCCACAGGATTGGAAAGCAGTGAACATAAACATAAATGAGACTCCCAAAATAATGATGTTGAAAAGCTTTTTTCCTTCTTGAGACATTTTGTGTATTTTTCCCAAGTCCTTAGCTTCAGTCTGGAAAAACTCTTTTTTCTTTTAAAAGTTTCCTCTTAACCTCTGTTTAAAAAAAAAAAAAAGGAAATAAAGGAAAAAGAATAAAAGAAAGCACGCTTTAAAAATAATGATTACTTAGGGCTACTCATTAGCTGATTGAAAATATCAATTAATCAAAAGTCCTGGTAAGCCTTTAAAATAATGTGCAACAAAAATTGACAAATAAGGTCTGGTAGAAAAGGTGAAGCCCAAGATTCTCTCTACCTGTTCCCATGAAGTTACCAGGGCTGACTGCAGGGTGTTACTCCATGGCATCCCCTTCTCCCAAAGGAGCAGCTTTCCCAAAACCAGGTGAATGGGCTCAGCCCCTCGTCATTGCTGAAATCTGAATTGCGGTCCCCGGCCTCTCAATCCCCTGAGGAAGGAAAGATGAGCCGCTCGCACATTTCCATGCACTGCACAGGAAATAAAGAACATTTCAGTGTCTCGATCAGCTGACACGGCCCTGAAAGCCCTTGTGCACTATGGGAAATGCAGTTTTAGCAAAGCTACCTTTTCCTATTTAATGCGGTGAAAATCTCCCAGTCCTTAAAATAAAGTTGTTTGTACCAGCTTTTGAGAATTGTAGCTCCTTGCCACTAAATAACACCTGGAAAAAATAATAATAATTAAAAAAATATTTTAAAAACACACGTTAAAAAACACCTCAAAAACCAAACCAAAAAAATAAAAACCTCTCTCAATGACAGAATCATGGAATCACAGAATGGTGAAAATTTTGATGGAAAGGGACCTTTAAGCCCATCTCATCCCACCCCTGCCATGGGCAGGGACACCTTCCACTGGACCAGGTTGTTCCAAGGCCACTCCAACCTGTCCTTGAACACCTCCACGGATGGAAGTGATCCCATTTATCTTGTACTTCATAGTATTTCTAAATAATAAATTTAAGATTCATTGATCTTCGAGTCATGAAGATCTCTGTTAAAACATTACCAAAACTGAGAGACGATCAGGCATTGAGCAAATGGCTGCTTCTTCCTCATACCATGCTTCATCTGTTCTGTTGCGCCTCTGGGATTGGAGAATTCAACTAAATCAGTTCTACTTTAATGCTGGCCAAAAGAACAGAGAAGGAAATGCAGAACTGATTGATGTAAATGACAAATCACCACATTTTACTTCTGCTGTCTCCAGTAAAGGGTTTAAAGAAACAGAGGTCTCAAAGGGAGAAAAGGAGTTAGAAAAGCTCGTTGAGAGATTTCAAACTAGATCTGAAGTAGGGTAAGGTTTGCTTGACAAACCTGATCACCTTCTGTGATGAAACAACTGCATGGATGGATGAGGGAGGACAGTGGATACTGTCCATCTTGACTCCAGCAAGGTTTTCGACACTCTATTTCACAACACCCTCCTGGGGAAACTCAGGATGGGACCAGCGGGCAGTGAGATGATTAAGAACTGATTGGAAAATCCCAGTCACAATCAGTGGCACTGGGTCTGTTTGGAGACCTCTCACAGGCGTCCCCCAGGGTTGTTTAACCCTTTTATCAATTACTTTGATGAGGGGTCAGTGCCTCCTCAGCAAGTTTGCTGATGGCACAAAGCTGGGAGGGGCAGCTGGGGGTGCT